CATGCTGCATTGCCAAGCATTGGCCACCATGGTTCCTATCTTCCTCAATTTTGAGTTGAAATTTTCCTTTGTTACTTCTTTCTTTGATGTCTCTGAAACTCTATGGAGTTATTCTTGATATTAGCCCAGTCACCAAATTGGTTCTCCTGAGAGAGAGCAACATTTGTCTGTGCACCCAGTCTGTGGAGATTCACTGTGTGGCTGTGGAGTGTGGGCACCGCATAAACATTGGACATTCAGACTCGAGTTCAACATTCCTGTGGTTCTCAAGGCAATTCTGCCCTGAGAGGAGGCTCACAGTGTGTACATCTCCTCAGGCAGAGGAGTATACAGTTCAGTCCAGGTGGAATTTGGAACTGTCTTCTGAGAAGAAAATGGGGACAGAGCCTCTCTTTTGAGAGGGAGGTCATCGTAACTAGCAGCAAGATGTATATGGCGCTTCCGCAGAGTACATCGTGGTGATCACTGCTCACTCAAACAATAGAAAGCTTTATGGAATATGTAAGTACGTGCAGAGTAGATATTCACTAAAGTGCTTAAATTAAAAGTGGGGAGAAGCTGGGTGTTGCCTACACCTACCCACACTGGCAATTTGACTTGTAACTTATTTGAATTTTTGGCCCAATTTGTGACTTCACCATTTATAGCTGTTTTGTTGCTCTTGAGTGTCCAGGAACAAGCACCTGTGGGCAGAGGTGGCAGCAGAAAGATAGTAGAAGGAATTACGTGCACCCCACTGGGGAAGGATTTTGGAGGGAAAATGGGTGGTAGGAGATAGAGAAGGTGGAAGCATAGGCCTTATTGGAAAGATTTGAAAGGGAAATAAAGGAATTCCAAGGAAAATGAACTGTATGTAGCAAAGAGCTGACCGGAGGATGTGTGCATATGTGTGCTCGTGTATATGTGTTAATTGTGCTGGCCTGAACTCCTTAGCATGAGCCACTGGAGCTCAATGCTCCAGACACTGGACAAAAGGATCATCCTGTGGTGCATTTTCATGTTAATGTCTCAGTGCCTTGATTAATTTGTTTTTTCTTTTTGCAATGCTACTCCCCTTCTTTACCTTGTGATCCTGATAGTTGCCTCAGACGCAGCTTCAGCCGAACCTTTTCTGGGAAGATTTCTGAAACATTTCCCCACAGCTGGCTTAGTCATCCTTTTGTGCTCCCATCCAGATGTGTCCATGATGTAGCACAATACATTGTACCATGACATCCACAAGTCTTCATTGTCTGCAACAACGTGAATTTTCTAATTGTATCCTTGTCTTACTCATCTCCATAGCTGCACCAGCTGGCACAGAGTCAGTGCTTCATTAGTTAGGTTTGTAGCCTGGAGGTGAATTGGTTGCAAGCAGTGTCCAGGCTCATGGTTGGGTCCATCCATGTCCCCAGATGCAGATTCATTATGGCATCTCCCCTTTGGCTTCATCGACATGGGCTATAGGGACAGCTGTGTGTGAAGGGCATCCCTACATATCGCTACCAGTATCTGTAGAGTACTTGCTATAGCCCAGTCTGTGCTAGGCATGGAGGAGAGTAATAAATAGATTCCCTATTCAAATGGAGCCTAAATTCTAGAAAGCAGGTGAAAGCAAAAATGTTTTTTAATGTTTTAGAAAATTGTAAAAAAAAAAGAGAGAGAGAAAGGGTGGGGTAACTGGCAGTATTCCTGTGAGGATTACACTTGAGAAGGGATAAAATAATGGGGGTAAAAGAGATATGGCTGTGGGGGTGGGGGAGTGCTAGGGAGATTTGAACAGCAGGTGCAAAGACCTGGAGGCAGCCTTCTTCATGATGAGTGGGACTGGAAAACTGCCATTAAGGGGCTGAGTGGAAGGTGTTGAGATCACACAGAAGTAGGATGTGCCCAGTTCACTTGGTTTCTTTTTTTGCTCCGTAGTGACTGCATTCTTCCTCCCCAAGTTACCAGTTCCTGTCAACAATTTACCTTCACCTCTGAACAATGTTCTCTCTTTCCTGGATCCATTAAAACAACTTCTGCACACTCTGGGCATTTCTGTTGAGCACCTTGTGGAAGGGCTGAGGAAGTGTGTAAATGAGCTGGGACCAGAGGCCTCTGAAGCTGTGAAGAAACTGCTGGTAACTCTAGCTTGTGGGGCTAATTTTTGAAGGGCAGCGTTTCATCTCTCAGAACACCCTTCCCACTCTGTCCCATCCCGTCCCATTCTCACTCGTGAAGGTGCATTTCCTGTTGCTGACTGTGCTTTGTAAAGTCCCATGTTCTGAATCTCAAGGAAAGTGCAGTAACTCCACTTCAGCAGGAATGTTTCAGTGAATGATACCTGTATTATTCTAGTTGTGACTTTACCAGTTGCCATTCTGGACCGGGATTTAGTAACTGCGCCCTTGCTTCTGGTCAATAAAATAGTGGCTAAGTAGGATGGTGAGATGATGTTTTTAGAAACGTGCTAATTATATGTGTAACCTGCTCTTATTTTTATTTTTGCCCTTCTGCTTTCAGGAGGCCCTCTCACATTTGGTGTGATGGCAGGCCAAAGAGAGAGGAGACGGGAGGAGGCTAATTCTTCTCTCCTCGCTGGCTGTAACTCATTCCACCCAGTTATAAACCAGCCACCCTAAAATGTGTGACGCCTGAAAGAAACGAATAAAGCAATGACTGGATTTCAGCTTCTCATGTTTGTTGTTTCTGGGGTAGGGGGCACCTGTTCAGAAGGACTTAACCAGATACTTCTCTGGCCTTGGGTCAGAACTTTAGTGAGCCCGTTGCTTAGAATCTGTGCTTCCAGTGAGATGGTCTTCCCTCCCCTTTCCTTATCTCCAAGTTAAACATCCCCATTATCTTCTCTCCTCTTTTTATTTGACATGTTGCTTCTGTCTCCAATTCCCCTACTTCTAAAGAAAATGTTGAATATAAAAAATTTATAAAAAAAATAGTTTTATCTGATAAGACTTAGGTATCTTACAAACCATGTTGGTCTAGAGACTATGTCACCAGAATGTGAGTTTCTGTTATGTCTGTGGTCATCCTGGGGCCACTGGGAACCTTCACAGACCCTTCCACCAAGTGAGGCCTTTACTCCATCATCCTTGGCAAATGGGCTCTGAACCACTCTATTCTTTCCCTCATGCTACCATCTATGGTGATGCCAGAATTAACTTTCAAAGACATTCTGGTTACATATGACCATATACAGAATATGACCCAACCTCCTCAATCGGCCACACAAGGCTGACTTTGCTTACATGTCTGGTCTCATCAGTTCTCTGTTCTAGCTCCATTCACACTGAGCAAATGACCAGATTTCTTTGCTTATGTCTTCATGAAAACTCAGTTTTATGTCTTCATGAAAACTCAGATTTCTTCCCACTTAGAAAATCTGCCAAGACCTGCCTTCCACTGGGCTGGTCCCAGTCTTGGAAACTTCTGGCCTCAGACTCATTCCCTAGCCTTCCCTACTGTGCTGCCCTGTTGGTGAATACAGGGGCACCGTCTGCCCCCTGCAGGTTGTCTCTCAGGTTCTCACCTAGCTGGCTGCTCTTAGACTACCCAGGCACCAGACAGGAAGTGGAGAGGGAGAAGCCAGAGTGTGGCCTCCTCATCCTCACAATTTAGGAGAAGTCTCTGGCAGTCCCTGCACCATGTCTGAGCTGCCATATCCTGCCCCATAGGTCTGCAATGACTAAGCTCTGGCAGGTGACTTGAGGTCTGGCTATCCGGCCTCTCGTTTTTCTTTCCAGTTCACATGGTAGTAGCCTCATGTTGTTATGAGTTCAAGTTGTCTCACCATCACCTATTTGACTCTGGGTCCTCTAGTATCTGTTGAATCAATTCTGTGCAGTACATTCCCTCTGTTCTAAGAATTAAGTGGTTTCTGTTTCTTGGTCTGCTCCCACTTAATTCAATGTTAATGCTAATTCAATGTTTCCTCTGTGATGATTATCTTGAGTTCCCATTTTTTTTAACTTCCATTTTTTGGTATGTTTTATGATTTTGATTTTTAAAATTAATTTAAATTTTTAAAAAAATTGAGACATCAGTGTGTAACACTGTATGTGACTCTGAGACTTAGGATGGCACCACCAAGGTAACCCCTAGTCCTCACCATCATCCATTGTGCCCCACCCACAAGCTTTCCCCTCTCCCACTTGCAGCCTCAGTCCCACAGTCATATTTCCAGGGTTTGTTGTTAGTTTGGTTTTGTCTAACCCTCTGTTTTGTTTCTCTACATTCCACATGTAAATAAAACAATCTAGACTTTGTCTTC